AAAAAATTCCATCACTTTCAAATTCCATTTTTTCCAGGAACATTTTGAAGCCACATGTATGTGTGTATATATCTGTACACATAAACCCCCCAAAACACCTCATTACCATCAAGCTGATGCTGACTTACAGCAACCATATAGGACAGGGTTTAAAACTGCCTGTGAGTTTCCAAGACTGTGACTCTTTACCGGAGAAGAAAGTCCCGTCTTTCTCCCATGAGGGCTGGTGGTTTTATACTGACCTTGCAATTTGCAGCTCAACAAGTAACCACCCCACGATCAGGACTCCTTGTGCGCGTGTGTGTGCGCGCGCACACACACACACACACACACACACTTGTTAACAAGTCAATTCCAACCCACAGGGACCCTGCAGGACAGAGAAGAACTGTCCCACAGTGTTTCCAAACTTGTGATTATTATAGGAGCAGTTTGTAATATCTTTCTCCTCTACCCCCATCACACACATGTATAAAATTAAAACAAAAGCAAAAGAGCAGAACATGTTCTTAAGAATGAGCTGTAAATAAACATCAAATTGGGGGACTAAAACCAACACTGTCAATGGCTGTACTTTTATCAACCTGAGTTACTTTTTACTTATGGGAATAAATGGTGACCCAACCGGGGAATTCAGCTTGAGTTGCCTTTTTGCTTTATTCACACACTTCATTATAAACCCATCCAACTATAAAATCATACCGGGACTAAGAGTAGGATCCAGATCTCAAAGTGAGAACAATCACAGTAATGAGAAAGGTTGGAAATTATAATCTTAGCTTCTGAAGGTTAGCCACTACTGGATGCAGCTTGTTCTTAGTTCCTCTCTCCCAACACCACCATATACAAGTCAAACAAAGTAATGCTGCAAAGTCAGAGAAAACTTTAGGTGGTGTTCAGAACTCTTGAACTTACAGTTTGGATGTGCTCAAAGACCACAAAATTATTTTCTAAGGTTCTTTGAGTTTGGGGAGCAAAAAGCCTACAGCATCAAGATCAAGCCCAGAGGGTAGATGGGATAAGGTTTCTCTACAAAATTCTCCTATAACAGCCCTGGCTATCTTCAAAGAATGAGTAGGTGCATTATCATGATGGAAAAATATTCATTAGCATAACTTTTTTGGCCCCATTCTCACCAATGTTATTTTTCACATTCTTAAAATTTATTCCAACAAGCCCTCATGGTTGTCCTGTGTCCTTTGAGAAAATAAAAATCGATCAAGATCATCTCTGGAATCGCAAAAGACAGTCACCATAAGCTGCAATGATCTCGGCCTTGAATGTAACTGGCCCAGCAGATCCTCTTGGAAGCCAGTTTTGATTGGACATTTTTGGCAAGCACCCTAACGAGACTTAGCCAAGTGTATTACTAAGAGAACTTATTGGCAGCCATTCACTGATCACAGACTTGTCTAAACACATTTATTTGGAATAAACCATGCATGTATAAACAGAACTCAACTAGCAATATTTTTTAATTCAACCTCGTATTAGAATATGTATATTCCTCATAATGATTTTAATCTACTAAAGACTGTACAAAAAGGCTGCCTATTTAGTGCATATATTTTTACTATTCAGTTAGTGTCTCTTGAGTAATCAAAAGGAAAATAAAAATTAAAGTCAAAACCTTCCTTTACTTTAAGAACTTTAGTTACTGTTCACGGAACTTGATTTTTAGAAACATGCTCTGAAAAAAAATAAAGACACACGCTCTGTGTTCTTTCACAACACACCGAGATACATTTATCTTACGGACAGAGGACATCTACACTTCAGCAAGTTTTCAGAACAGGTCTGAAAAATGCCATTATGACATAGTTATTTTGTCTTATTTTCTTAAAGAGAAGCAAAAACAAGGTAGATTTTATATTCCTTTGCTCTTTACCATAATCTTATATAAAAAGCAGATGATTTCTTTTAAAATAGCAGGATTAAAAGTCACTATGTTGTTCTTGTTCATTGATATCAAGTTAATTCCAACTCATGGAGACCCATGGGGCCTGAGAAGAACTCCTCCACACGACATTTCAAGGCTGTGAGCTTTTCTGAATGTAGGCCTGTCTTCTCAGGTGGGGCAGGGGCATTTTTGAAGTATTATACTAGGAGTTGTAATGGCTAAATGCTCAGCTGCAAAACAGAAAAGTCAGTGGTTCTAATGTACCCAGCAGCTCTCTAAGAGAAAGATGTGTCAATCATCTCTTGAAAAGCTAACAGCCTAAAAAACCCATTGGGCTCTTTCATTCTATCACATAGGGTTGCTATGAGTCAAAGTCCGAGCAACTGAAAGCACTACATACAACATAGCAGTCTAATGGCAAAATCACTTTTGAATAAAATACTACCAGCGACTCATGAAATTCCATAATCTATTATGTGCCTGCCTACAATAAAATGAAATCTTGTTAGTAAGACAGAACTATATAATTACTCCCAAATACCATTATATGTTCTTAAACTGTAGTAGTAGTCAAATCAGGTTTCTATAAATATAATTATTTTTTAACAACTACCTGCAATTTTAAAGAATCAAAGAAAATCAGGAATAAGCAATGAACTCTTTTGAAAATGGGCATCATTTCGCTGCTTTTTCCATAGGAGTTTTCTTTGCATTCTATGTTCTTGATTTTCCCACAAAGACTAAAATGGCATGAAAAAAAAACTCTTTATGCAAAAGGCATACTACCAATATGCAACTTCTTTTCTCTTCAAAACGTACTTACATTTTCGGGACCTCTTCAGATTTTTAAGTGTTTCTATCATGACCACAAAAGATAATGCTGAAATCCGTGCATTTCCTTTTTATTGGTTTAAATTTGCATGTGTTTTTTCAGTAAAACAAATTAATGATACTGGAAATAAAGTTTTTACATAAAAATCCCAGTAATTCTTTAACCAAAGAAAGAATATCGTGGCTTTTGATAATGTAAATCAGTAAGACATCAATTAATGTTGGTATATATTTTTTGACTTTATGGTATAACCATAATCTTATCTAGTAGTTCCCTAAATCCTATTATGGAAAAAAGCCAAACTCACTACAGGTGTATAATTTTATAAACTGAGAAAGGTGGAGAAGTAGCCTTATACACTAATCGAAAAGCTTCCCATGTATAATGGAAACTAGACTAACACAGTTAGTATTTGTAAGAAGACAAGCACCAATGTATGTCATTAAAATGCCAGGGAGAATTTCAGCAAACACGATTTCAAAGTACCACTTACTTGTGATGGCTACTGCTGTGACGATGGTGATGGTGATGATGGTGGTGGTGATGTTTTGAATGATGCTGGTCTTTCTCAGTAAGAGATGAAGAGGATGAATTTGAATGTGAAGACCCCAGGCTCTTCCTTTGTTCCTTTGTCTTCTGCAAAACTCTCTTGTATGATAAAGTACAGAGCCAGCACAGTAACTTCCCATCAACCTTTTAGGAAAATAGCTGTATTAGATTAAATGTATCCATAAATTAGCTTTAAGGGAAATCGGGTAAAATAAAATGTTCAACTTCCAGCTGTATCTCATATACATACACACAAAGACTTTTCAAAAGTGGAAGCAGAATTAAAAACTTTCCTTGAACTTGAGAAATTTTTTAGAGGATAACATCAGCGAGGATGATATTTGAATTTTCCATTAGTTTGAAGATATTTTTTAATTTGGAGAAATATTTCTTTTAACTGGAAAATAAGCACATACTGATGATATACACATCAAAGAAGTCTTATGTAGGCGCTCAACTGGATTCTAAATTACAATGTAATCACTAACATGGTGATTATTTCCCACTAAAGATTACGAATTCAGAGCATGAAGAGAACCTGAATGACACATACGTATGTTGAGGTGAGGGAGAGTCCCCTCGCCCCCTAAATGAAGACTAACAGAGTGGTGAGCTTCTGTTTTCAGTTTGTCTGCGGAAGAAATGCTGAACAAGTATGTCTTACAACTAGGTTGAACGCATACAATGCTTTGGAAAACTGTAAGGATGTCCCTCAGAGACCGCTATCTTCAAAATCAACGGAAACAGAGATAGCAGGAGGCTTGCCTGAGTGCTGACCAGCAGAGGCATGCAGCATTCACATGCACACTGATTAAGTCACTGTAGGTACAGAAAAGCAAACAATGGTTTCAAATTTGAGGCCAAGGTCAAAAGGTAACGTGCCATCAAATAGTATTTCAATCTAACAACTTCAGTGATGAGCAAAAGGGTGAGTAACTAAAATAATTTATTTAGCTAATAATTCTCCTGAAACAACCAGATATAACCCAAAAGTCCAGAAATTTAAAGCACAGTAATTCCAACTGAACAACATTAATCTACATGACATAAATAAGGAGAAAATGTAGTATTCCTGTACTTTAATCTAATCTCTGCTTTCAAAGATCCCAGGGGCAGAGCATCTCTCGGCAGCATTTTTATTACAATAACCCCCAAATAGATTGGTATTTTATTTGGTTTCCAGATATCAAACGATACGACATACCTTTCTTCTTCCTTCTTCCTTCCGATCGAAAGCGCATTGTTGCTTGCACTGCTCACAAGTCTGAGGTGGTCCATATTTTTTTTCTGAATTTGTACAACGCTGACACTTGGTGCCAATAAATGCTGCAATTATGTTACAGTACTGACAAGGTTTGGGCTGAAAAACAAATATACATTTATCTTAAATATGCACTTAGAAAGACTAGAAATTTGCTGCACAAACCACACCCAAGTCTTGCCAAGTCTGTTTTTCTATCATATTCAACAGCATTTGCCATGTTTCTATTCATTCACCTAATACTTATACTCTATTGGAATTTTTAAAATAAGACCATGAGACTTTTATTTCACATTTAATAAAAGCTATATGTAATACAAAAAAAGTTTATGAAGAATGAAAATAAAAGGTACACACACAAACTTCATATATTCAGAATTTGGGAGAATGAATTACCACTAACATCCTTGCTACCTTATTACAGTATTAATTTTAAAAGGCATATATTAACTTTTCATTATGCACAGGTAAGGATGGGATGAGGAATATGAACTATAGGTGAATTTTCAATTTACATAAAAGACCCACACAGGATCTTATAGAGCCCTAAAGCTGGAATTCTTATCAGTAATCCTTGCAATGCACATGTAGATACTGAAGACAATTGACTAGAACAGTGTCATGATATTTGTAAGTAAACATTTGAATTATGCTACAGTGTCAACATAGTTTTAAGTTCTTAAAAGGAGAAGTCTGGGCAGACTATGGATAACTGAGCTTCCACATTCAAGAATTTGCTGTATTTGACTTTTAAGAGAAGAATGATTTCATAAATTTCTAAATAAAATTCAACACACAATTATATACAGGAGTTCCGTTGTTAAAACTGGAATACCTCCCCAATCACACTATTTACAGTTCCATATGCTATTTTTTGACACATTAAAATGATTAAGAACATAGGAGCACATTTTTAAAACGAAGATCTTTGTGAAAAACAAATGGACTAATGTTACATAACATAAAACATACTTACTGTGCCAAACTGCTTCACATTTTGAGCACATTTCTTACATATTGTGTGAGTTTTGCTGAAAAGAAAAGTATATAAATGCTCAAATGTATGTGGCTTTCTGAAGTAAGTTAGCATGATGATGAGCTAGAGGAAAGGGATGAGTCAAAGATTTACAGTACATAAAAGTATTTAATAGGGACCAAGAAGTTTTTTTAACTACAAAGAAATCTTGCTCGGGTTGTATGATCCAAATTTACTTCCCTCCCAAACATTAAGATAAATGATTTTATATTTAGTGTGCATTTCTCATAAAGACAGAAAGCAGTGTTTCTTATCTTACCTCAATGTTTACCTATGTTCAAAATCTTCACACAGCAAAGCTTTATATATCAGTACCCTCTTAACTTGGACCATCTTCAGTGTAATGAATGTCTATACCTACTTATAGCAACTCTGGTGGTGTCAGTGGTTGTTTTGAGCTGCTAACTGCAAGGTCAGTAGTTCGAAACCACCAGCTGCTCCAAGGGAGAAAGATGGGGCTTTCAACTCCTGTAAAGAATTAGTCTTGAAAACTCACATGGGGCAGTGCGTTGGCACTGACTTAATGGCAGTAAATTTGTTTTTATACTTACTAATAGTTATTTTTTTATTCTTTGGGCTACCTTCTTCTGTGATTTCTCTAAGTCAGTGGTTGTCAATCCTCCTAATGCCACAACCCTTTAATATAGTTCCTCATGTTGTGGTGACCACCAACTATAAAATTATTTTCGTTGCTACTTCATAACTGTAATTTTGTTACTGTTATGAAGCGGGCGACCCCTGTGAAAGGGCCGTTTGACCCTCAAAGGGGTTGCGACCCACAAGTTGAGAACCACTACCTTAGACCTTTTCCTCTGATTCACATTAGTAGTAATGTTTTACCAATTTTTAATAAAATATTTCTAAAATAATTTAATAGCAGCTGTTTAAATTTGTTAGCAGGGCTGTATATTTCCATCTGGTAATTTACCCTGTATTTCTTCATGTACAAACTGAATTCTATCAAATAAGCAGTTTGTGTATGTGTGTGTGAACATTCTCTCTCCAAAGGATTTAATTTGCAAAGTGAAACCATCTAAAAAATAATTTATTACAACGAGGCGATTGCCAACCCCAAGTGTTTAAAGACAATGCTTTGTCTTTAACAATCAGAAACTGTTCAACAAAAATGATTCACAATCAACAAACCTCTCTTGCTGAAATTCTGATCTGCAGTAAGTACATTTTACAATAGGATGTGCGATCCGACATTCCTGCAATGAAACAATACATTCATCAGTACATCAGTCAGTACAGGGCTTAAAGTCTCAAATCTCACTTTTTTGGTGGAAATTATTACATAGCCTAGTTAGATGTTGAAAATATCAACACAACCTGTGTCCTGACGTGGACAAATGACTGATCAATCATGTAATTGGCCAAGTACAGTATAATTTCTTCCGAAAGGCATAGGTGTCTTTGTTTCTATTAGATGTGGGTATGCTCCAAATAGATTAAGAAAGCTGTCGGGGCCGATCTCAAGGACGGGTTAAATATGAAACTACTTATTATTTTGCACCGTTGCTCACAGACAGCATCCCGGCTTTATGGGATGGAAGGTGCTCCAAATCAGAGCAATCTGTTCCCAAGCCAGTCGCTTCGCTTTCCTGAACAGGGGAGGAGGATGCCATCAGCTTTGCGGCTTCGGGTTCCTAGCAAGAAAGTGCAAAAGCCGTCCCCTGCCTCCTGGTGGAAGGAGAGGACAGATCAGGTAGAAAATCGAGATGAAAACATCTCCACCCCAGGGTCTCTGCGGCATAGACAGGTGGCCGCTTCACTCAGACCCTTCCGAGATCCCCGTCCTGGGCCTCTCAGAAGAGGGCAAGATGCCGTATCCCTCTGTAAGGACCTTCTCCCCCTAATCACTAGGCCCCTGGATAAAGAGGACCCCGATTGGGGAAAGGCTCCACACCCCCAAATCCCCAAGGAGCCGGCAAAGACGGAGGCTGCAGTGCAGCGGGCCCCCGGCCTCGCGGGGTCCTGCCGAGGAAACCCCGCCCG